GCGCAGTGCTAAGGGGAAAAGTGGGGTTGGATTCCCCACACAGTGTCCCCAGTGGGGCATTGCCTGGTGGAGCTGAGAGAAGGGGAACACTGCCGTCCAGACCTGAGAATAGGAGCACCATTGACAGCTTGTACCCTCAGCATGGAAGAGCCACAGGCATCAGATTCTGACCTGTGACAGGAGCCATGTGGGCTGCACCCTGGAAAGCCACAGGAGCAGAGCTGCCCAAGGTCTTCAGAGCCCACCCTCACACCAGAATACGGAACATGGAATCAAGAATTGTTTTGGAGCTTTGAGGTTTAACAGCTTCCCTGCTGAGTTTCTGACATGTGTGAGGACTGTAATCCCTTTTATTGTCCAGTGTCTGCCTTTTGGAATGGTGGTGTTTAGCCAATGCCTGAACCATCATTGTAACTTGAAAGGAAATAATTTGTTTTTGAGAGTACAGGCTAAAAGGTGGAAGGAACTTGAGTCTCAGGGGATGAGACTTTGGACTTTGGACTTTTGATTCAGTTAATGCTGGAAGGAATTAAGACTTTTGGGAGTGATTGGGAAGGGATGATTGTATTTTGCAATGTGAGAAGGACATGAGATTAGAGGGTCCAGGGGAAGAATAATATTTTTCAGATATTTGTCCCCTCGAAACCTCATGCTGAAATCTAATCCTCAATGTTGGAAGTGGAATCTGGTGGGGAGGATTTGAGTTGCGGGGTGAATCCCTGACGAATGACTAAGTGCTTTCCTCCCAATAATGATTGAGTTCTTGCTCCGACTTCATACAACATGTAGTTGTTTAAAAGAGTCTGGGACCTCCTTTCACCCTCTCACTCTGCTCTCACCTGGTGATATTACTGCTCCCACTTCACTTTCCACTAGGACTGAAGGCTTATTGAAGCCTAACGAGGGGCAGATGCAGGTATCATGCTTCTCACACAGCCTGCAGAATAGTGAGCCAAAACAACTTCCTTTCCTGCTGTATTATCCACCTCAGGTATTCCTTTAGAGCAACACACACAGACTAACACAAGGAGTATTGTGTTGTGTGAGCTTTGACCTCGGTCTTCTCAATGCCACAGGATGCTGGTCTCCATGTGAGTCTTCCTCCCTGTCCTGTCTTTCAAGACCTAAATTGCCATTAAAGGGTCTTCTCAAATAAAAGGAGAGTTTTTTCCTAAGAGAGTTTTGCTGCTTCCCCATAACATAGGAATGAATGCCATTGTCATGGTGACATTTTAATTTTTTTTTTTGCGAAGCTCCACTTCTTTTATACAATCAACTGATATATGCTTCCGGGAACCAGGAAATCCACTAATTTATTCAAAATAACAACGTATACATGATGAATAGTAAATGACTAAATAAAAGCAGGGTCTGACTGTCCTGGTATCAAGGTAGGTGAGTGCAACTGAGTTGGACAATTATAGGATTAGACCCTGTCTTGATTTACATTTTGGACATTTTGTTGATTATATGATTTTTTTCATGACTATGATTTTTGAAAAAATCTATCACGTTATGAGATCATCTGTCTTAAGTATGGAGTATTTAAGTGCTTACGTTTTATATCTGAGGCCAGAGCCTCCCTCGCTTCACCCTAGTCCTGGCTCTGTCATCACATCTGGATAAAATCTGTACCCAGATAAAAATGCTTTTACTCTAACAAGGTCTGGTTACTTTTTTCTGTCTTGAGATGAGGAAAGACAATGGATTATTTTGGAACTAAGGTTCATTTTCCCAGAGGTTAATGATATGCACATTTAGTGCAGAGTCAATGTGAAGAAATAGAGAGCTTCTTCTGCATGTAGGAGACACCCACAAAGTTCATGATTGAAAGAGCAAACCCTCCCAAGGAGAGAGAGCAGGGCCATGGAGCTATCCTGATGCTTCCCTTTAGAGCTGATGTGTCTTTCTTCTTGAGGTTTGCTCCCCTCTGCTTGTGTCCCATGGTATACTGTCCTCATTTAATTATGCCCTCCAAAAGACTTGTTTTTAAGAGCATTTACTTGGATCCTATTATTTTGTATGTAAGTAAACCCTTGTACAACTGCATTTTGCCATCCGATTTGTGAAATAGCTTATGAATGACCAGCACATAAATGAATAAGACAAAGTCCACACCAGTAGAACTCTCATAGCTAAATGGAGAATTAAAAATTCATGCACCTCTGTAGGAGGCGTAATTGCATAGGAAACCTTAACCAGAAGAAGGGAGTCCTTGTGAAGAACAGAGGACTGGGCATCCCCTCCCTTAGCAGATCCGCTATGATTCCATGAGGGAAGTGGTCTTCGAGTTGGGCTTGCTTTTTTTAGGGAAGATGTGGGGTAGGCATACAAGGGGAGGGTGTAGGAGGAGCAAAGCACACGTTCTATGAAATTGTCGGGAATAACTGGGAAGGTCAAGGGATCCAAATAATACAGATGCCTGTACCCTGGAAAGCACTCCAAGCCCCCCTGTGGCATCCCTGACCCTTGCCTGGAGAGAAGAAAAGGGTGTTCCAAGGATGTTAGAGATTGGCCTGCCCAAACCAGCACCACACCATGACCACAATGACTAGGATCAAGATTCTGTAAATCTGAACACCACAGTTTAATTTTGTTTACATGTCACACATCTCTGATGAGGGAGCCCTTTCTGAATCCACATCAGTTACAGCAGCTTCTTGGCCTCCTCATGGCTTTTTGCAGCATTTTATTAGAGGGACACCACAGATGCCGATATGTTTATACGTTCCAGGGCAAAAGCCTGGATGACATATGGCACCACTCCAAATGCAGGTAAAAAGATTCCTTGTATCACCAAAAACACCTAACAGGAAAAAAACACACAAAGAGCAAACATCGAGTTAGAACTCAAAACTCATGTTGCAAAAACACAAACGCTGTGTCTGTATTGCCTTGAATAAATCTGCAGTGGACTTCTTTCTGAAGCCTGGGCTTTTCCATGAGACGCGAGTCAATCATTTGGATCGAAGTTTCTGACATGGAAACTGAAACTGTTGTGGTTTAGGGGATGTTAGTTTTGGTAGAATCTGATTGTGAAAGACCCTGATCTCTCCTGAGTGACCGGGGTCTCCGGGTGGGGTCTGGTAGGAGCTCGGTAATGTTCTCTTGTGACTTCAGCTCCACCACAAGTAGATAAGATCAAAGCCACCCTACCTCCGTTTTAACACACAAGCCAGTAACTTTTTGCTTTTCAAATCATTTAGTCTGTTAAGTATTTGATCTGAGATGGGATAAAAAGATACAACTCACAGAAATTCTTCAATGTGAAATTAACACCACATAACTTACAGTCGAAAACCACAATTAACCACAGAAATAAACTTTTGTAATGGCTTGTTTCTAATATCTAAGTCCTGGTTTCAACCTCATTCTTCTTTTTTTTATCTCTCCCTGTCTCTGTCCCTCCCTCCCTGCCTCCCTGCCTCTCTCCCTCCCTCCCTGCCTCCCTCCCTTCTTCCCTCCCTGCCTGCCTCCCTGCCTTTCTCCCTCCCTGCCTCAGTCCCTCCCTGCCTCCCTCCCTCCCTCCGACCCTGCCTGCCTCCCTGCCTCCCTGCCTCCCTGCCTCCCTCCCTACCTCCCTACTTCCCTGCCTTCCTTCATGATACTGTTCTAGGTGTTGGAAAATTTGAGGTCTCTGGTGCCACTCAGAGCCCCGTTTTTCTCAAAAAACCCAGGACTCATAAATAAAATTGGTAACATGACGCTTTCACAATATAATATCTATGTGATTAATTGTTTTAGGTTTTAGTCTCAAATTTTCTTTTTCCCTCTCTCTATCCTTCCCTTCCACTCTCTCTCTTTTATGCTTTCATGGTTTTTATTTTATTTCCATAATATCAAGGAGAAAATGAAGGTTAGATATCCCGGTTAAAAGTTGCTTTCCATGGGCTGTCTCTGGACTCTGAACCTGCGGTGGCCTCGTGGCAGGGACTGTTCTCAGGGCCTCCGATCGGAAAAGTCCTGGGGCAGAGTGTCTGCAGCAGTAGCTCCTACGTATAGGCTGGGCCTTAAGATTATCTGGAATTTTCTAGGTTGCAATATCTACACTTTCAATATAAAAATTTAGAAAATGACATTCTGTACTACTTTCTTTAGATAAAATCAAAATTCTGACTTTTATTTAAAAGTCACCTAACAGGTTTCAACCACAGTCTTAGCAGTTGTAGCATGGAAAGCAGTGAGGAGATGAGATTTACAAGCTACTGGGCTCCTTCATATTGGCTCAGAAGAGAGAGTGAGGTGTCCATCGAGTTGTCAAACTTCTATATTGAACCAATGCTTGGTTCAATTATGTAACGCATACGGTCTACTCCGTCTAAAAGTGTGTGTAGAAGAAAGAGAAAGACCAGCTCTGGGGGACAGAGGGAGAGAGAGAGACAGGGAAAATAGAGAGAGAGAGGGAAACAGAGAAAGAGGCAGGAAGGAGTGGGGAGAGAGAGAGCGGCAGGAGAGAGCGATAGAGAGAGAGGGGACAGGAGTGAGAGAGGGAGAGAGCAAGGGTCAGGAGAGATAAAAATAGAGGGAGACAGACAGACACAGGAGACAGACACATGGAATTAAACAACATGTTCCTGAATGACCAATGGGTCAATAAAAGATAGGAAGGAAATTTAAAGATAGCTTGAAACAAATGAAATTAGAAACACACCCATAGGTTCCTCTCTAGGTTCTAAAAGCTTTACCAATGGACAAAGTAAAATATTCTCTCTATAACTAAGTTTACCCATTCAGACTTACAAATACCTGGTCAGTATAGCTCTTTCTACCTTAAAAGTAGCAAATTTCACAGAAATATCTTGAAACTAAAAGTCTTAGAAGAAAGAAAATCTTTTAGATGTGTTCAGTTCTCACTGATTAATTCAGAGATGAGAAAATCAAGGTCCAGGAAGATTAAGTAAAGTCACTCAAGGGAGGTAGACTTTTCCACACTTGATGCCAGAGCCTGTCTCCAATCCTTTTGTTCTAGATTTTGCAGATCTGCAAGATTGATGTCTCCTACCTGAGGCTCTAGGAGTAGAGAGTCCATTTTCTTCAAAGGAGACAGCAAGGTCCTGGTCGTCTTCCCCAGGCTGCTCCTGGGTTGCAGCCTCATCAGCTCTTTCCTGGAGTGACTCAGCCTGGGCCTGCAGGGCCACTAGGAGAATGGCAGCAAGGATGGCGAGGGTCCTCATGGCTGGGGCACCTGGAGGAGGGAGAGCAGGTGTGGATGTGTGGAGAGTGAGGAGTGAGCCTGGATTTATAGCTCTGCTGGGAGAAGGCCTGAGACAGAAGCTGCAGTGAGAGGAGGTGGGCATGTGATTGGGAGGGGAAGGGGCTGCCTTCACCCTCAAGATCCCTTTGATGCTCCTCTTTCTCCCGGCTTTCATCACAGAGTGAGTCTGTATGCTTAGTGCCTCTTCTTGATCCAAACTGTTAATGATGATAAGGGCACTACTATCCTGTCCTGTTTCCCATCTGCTTGAGTATTTACTTTTATATATTGAGACAAGAAAAGCAACAGTGCTTTCATTCAATAAATGTGGGGATCAAATGCCTCTTGTTTTCTGAAGACGGTCCCTGGTACTCTCTGGATGACTCTCTGGGGTCAGACCTGGGTCCCAGTGGAGTAGAGAGTTAATCCATTGCAGGATTCAGGGATATTATTAGCCTCATGTAGGAGGCTTTTGAGATCTTGAGGTGGTAGTCTCCTGCTGGGGCCAGTGTGGACAGGACAATGACCTTATCAGCTATGGGGAAATGAGTTCAGTAGACTAGTAGGCCAAGTTTATCAGATTAAAATCAAAATTCAGATTTAGTTCAAGAAGTTGGTGTGATATGAATGCATCATATACAATGTGTAGCAGGTACTTCTCTCCACTTTGAGGAATATCAAAGTAATTTAGGTGCCTACAACCCCTTACTGAGGTCTTTTATTTTATTTTTATTTTTAGTTTTAGCAAATTTTAAATCATACACAAGGAACAACATTCAAAAGGTAGAAGAAGTAACAAGTTCTATTTCTACCCCCAGGCCTTCAATTCTGACCCAGGAATCCATCACTATTAACAGTTATTCATAGTATTCTGCACTTTGCTTTATCACCTGTATCATGGGCACTTTGTATATCTAAACACATGGAATGCTGTTTAATTTTTAAGAGCCTTAAACTATCCAGGGTTTGTATATGCCATCACTTATTTTTTTCTATTGATAAAATATGATAAAATTAGTACAATTTGGTTATTCTTAACTTTTGCATTAATAAGTAAGTTACAGTGATTATCTTGTATATATGTCCTCTTACCCATATGGATAATCTTACAGAATAGAATTGCTGTGTCAAGAATGCATCTTAAGCCAGTATGGTGGCACTTGCCTGTAGTTCTAGCTATTTGAGAGGCTGAGGTGGGAGGATCATCGGAGACCAGGAGTTCAATACCAGCCTGACAACATAGTGAGACCCCTTTCTCTTAAAAACAAAAGAGACTGTATCTTACCCATTTTTAAGATATTATTATGTATTTCTATAATATTACCATATTTGATACACATCCTTTGGTGCTCAGTAGGCCCTTGGGAACCTCCACATTTGAATTCCTCATTTAATTTTTTTTCAAATTTGTTTATTTTTAATTGAAAAATGATTTTTGTGTATATTTGTAGGGTATGATGTGATGTTTGGATTGATAATCACATGGCAGAAACACTTCAGCTAATTAAGATAGCCATCACCCTCACCACTTAATTTTTTAAGGAGAATTACAATCGAGTCCTTTAGCAGTTTGGAAGATACAATACTTACTATTAACTGTAGTCGCCTTGCAGTGCCATAGATCACTAAGACTCTCCAGCATAACTGAAACTTTGTGCTCTTGGCTCAACATCTTCTCTTTTCCTATCCCTCCCTCTCACCCACCTCCAGCTTCTGATAACCACCTTGGTACTCCAGTTCCATAACATCGACATTTTAACATTCCACATACAAGTGATATCATATAGTATTTGTCTGTCTGTGCCTAGCTTATTTCATTTAGCACATTGTCCTCTGGTTCCAACCATGTTGTCATGAATGAAGAATTTCCTTCTTGAGACAGATCTCGCTCTGTCACCCAGGCTGGAGTGCAGTGGCAGGATCCCGGCTCATTGTAACCTCTGCCTCCGGGTTCACGCCATTCTCCTGCCTCAACCTCCCGAGTAGCTGGGACTACAGGCACCCCCACCACGCCCAGCTATTTTTTGGTATTTTAGTAGAGACGGGTTTCACCGTGTTAGCCAGGATGGTCTCGACCTCGTGACCTCGTGATCTGCCCTCCTGTGTTTCCCGTTTTTTCTTTCTTTGCAGAGAAACTATAGAGTGTATCTGCCACTTATTCTACCTTATGAAAATGAGAGGATCTGAATCAGATCTGTAATATCTATACTATTATTTGAATTCGTGAATTAACAGGGAGACTGGGAGGGACTAATTTTCTGTATCAGTGATTCCAGCTTTCATGGCCCTTGTTTTACCCTGGTGGCCATTTAGCACCAGGTTTTAAACCATCTGTATTTGTACTGCTGCTCTGTTTCTCACTGGACATTGCTGAGTTTGCAGATAGCATTCCATGATTGCTTCCTAGCCTACATCTCTCTGGCATTGTCTCTCTGAATCTCTAGAATGACTAAAGAAACAATTTGGAACATTTTTATTCCGGTTCTAAGCTTTCTCCATGAATTCTGTCATGTGTTTGATCACCCAGAGTCCTTGTTAATTGGGGAAATTGGTATCTTCAGTCTCTCTTCATCCTTCTCTTACCCAAATTAATTGGGTGAGCAGGAAATTAGTCCCTCCCAGTTCCCTGTTAATTCATGAATTCAAATAAATATTATAGATATTACAGATCTGATTCAGATCCTCTCATTTTCATAGGCAGAATAAGTGCGAGATACACTCTGTTAGTTTCTCTGCAAAGAAAAAAAAACGGAACACATGTCAAAACCCCAACCTCTCCACTGTACTCTAAGGGTCTGGCTTCTCTCTCACTCTCTCAGGCATAGCATGACTTGACACTCTCTAATTTTGTAGGAGTCACTAAGAATAAAGACAGGAGTTTGTACTGGCACAAAGGTTTAGAAGCCCACACAATCTCACTTGTAATAACACTCAAAAATAAAATTCTTAGAAGTAATTTAACCAAAAAAGTGAAAGATCTTACAGCAAAAACTATAAATATTGTGAATAAAACTGAAGAAGACACAATAAATGGAAAGATATCTTGAGTTCATGGATTGGAAGAATTAATATTATTAAAATGTCTGTACTACCCAAAGTGATCTGTAGATCCTCATCAAAATTCCAATGCAATTTTTCACAGAAATTAAAAAACACTAATTGGTATGAAATCAGAAATGACACCGAATAGCCAAAGCAATCTTGAGCAAAAATAATAAAGATAGAGTTATCTTGCTCTCTGATTTTAAAATGTATCTAAAAGTTATTGGTAAGCAAAAGCATGGTCTGGCATAAAGCACAATAACCCAAAGGAAAAGGAGGAAAGCCCAAAACTAACCAAGTATTTATGATTATTTGATCTTCAACAAAGATGCAAGAACACACAAGGGGAAGGACAGTCTCTTCATAGAAGGTGTAAGGAAAACTAATATCCACAAGCAGAAGATGAATTGGACATTTATCCCCACTATACCCAAAAATCACTCAAATGGATCAAAGCTTGCATAAAAAGACCCGAAATTGTAATCTACTAGAAAAAACATGGGGGGAAATCTTATGACATTTCTCTGGGCAATTATTTTACAACAGGACTCCAAGCAAAGACAACAAAAGCAAAAATAGACAAGGAGGTCACATCAACTAAAAAACTTCTGACAGAAAGGAAAAAAGTGAAGAGATGACCCATGGACTAGGAGAAAGTATCTGTAACCATACATCTGATGAGGGGCTAATATCCCAAATATATAAGGAATTCAATACTCATAATAAGAAGACAAACATCTCAATTTAAACATGGGCAATAAACCTGGCCCGCAGATATATGGAAAACATACTCAACATCACTAATTTCAGGAAAATGCAAATTAAAATCACAAAGAGGTAATCATCTGTTAGAATGGCTTTTAACAAATAGACAAATAATATTGTTGGTGAGGATATAAAAAAAAGGGGACCCTTGTGTGCCATTGGTGGAAATGTAAACTAGTATAGCCATTTTGGAGAAGAGTATGGGGGTTCCTCAAAGCACTAAACATAGAATTACCATATGACCCAGCAATCCCGCTTCTGGGTATTTCTCCAAAGAAATTGAAATCACTATATTGGCCGGGTGCGGTGGCTCACACCTATAATCCCAGCACTTTGGGAGGCTGAGGCAGGTGGATCACAAGTTCAGGAGATCGCGATCATCCTGGCTAACATGGTGAAACCCCATCTCTACAAAAATACAAACAAATTAGCCAGGCGTGGTGGCGCAGACCTGTAGTCCCAGTTACTCAGGAGGCTGAGACAGGAGAATGGGTGAACTCCGGAGGCGGAGCTTGTAGTGAGCCAGCTTGTACCACCGCACTCCAGCCTGGGGGTCAGAGCAAGACTCCGTCTCAAAAAAAAAAAAAAAAAAAAAAAAAGAAAGAAAGAAATCACCATATCAAGAAGAATCTACACTCCCATGTCCATTTCAGCATTATTCAAATAATAGTAACATATGGAATCAGCCTAATGTTCATCAATGGATGAATGAATAAAGAAAATATGGTGTATATGCAAGATAGTATATATACAGACTTAGAAAAAGAAGGAAATTGGCCGCACGTGGTGGCTCGCCTGTAATCCCAGCACTTTGGGAGGCCAAGGCAGGCGGATCATAAGGTCAGGAGATCAAGACCATCCTGGCTAACATGGTGAAACCTCTCTACTAAAGATACAAAATATTAGCCGGGCATGGTGGCGGGTGCCTGTAGTCCCAGCTACTCAGGAGGTTGAAGCAGGAGGAGAATGGCATGAACCCGGGAGGCAGAGTTGCAATGAGGCGGGATCCTGCCACTGCACTCCAGCCTGGGTGACAGAGCGAGACTCTGTCTCAAAGAAGGAAATTCTTCATTCATGACAACATGGTTGGAACCAGAGGACAATGTGCAAATGAAATAAGCTAGGCACAGAAAGACAAATACTGTATGATATCACTTGTACATGGAATGTTAAAATGTCGATGTTATGGAACTGGAGTACCAAGGTGGTTATCAGAAGCTGGAGGTGGGTGAGAGGGAGGGATAGGAAAAGAGAAGATGTTGAGCCAAGAGTACAAAGTTTCAGTT